GGGGGGGGTACTCATAGGCATGTAGGGTACACACGGTGGGAGAAGGTAGGCTGAGAAAGGTTGCATTTGGGGGGGGGAGTGGTTACTATTGTCAAGCAGTGTCGCCGCTCTTGTGTATCCGAGGAAATTTTTGCGGACTGTTGGGAAAGGCTCGCAAAAGTGACAGAGGAAGCGGGATAGATTGTGAACCTGTGGATGTTGATGTTGAATCGTGGAAGTTGTGAGCCGGAGAAAGGCAAGTGTTCTACGCGCCGCTGTTGTTGGTGTGCCCGCTGGTGTCCCTTTCCCCCGGCGCATCGCACTTGTCTCCTTATTCTGCACGAGCATGCTTATTCTGCACGAGCATGTCTGCCATTCATCATCAGCACGTGGCGTCCCCGCTCTCTGTTTCACTGCCTCTCTGGCACAATAACACTCAGGTGCGTGGTCAGCACACTGTGGAAAGGGCTGACGCCAGAGAAGATGGACAGAAATCGCTCCTCGGGACCCGGTCAGTTCGGCGTGTGAATATAGAGCGTACCAAAGGAACGCTACAGCAACGGTACCTAGCGACTGTCGCCTGTCGTTTTTGGCGCATCTTTTGGTTCAATCCTGGTCCTCACGTAGCAGAACGAGCACACCGAGTTGCTAGTGTAAGGTCCTGGCGTAAGTGTTTCACATGTTTCCCCCCAACCCGCCGGACTCTGCCTTTATGCCGACCTTGACCCAGGTATGAGCCTGATCAACCGCTCCCCTCGACACATGCAGTGGATGATCGAGAGAGCAACAAGGCTCTTGGACGAGCTCGACAGCCTTGAGAAAGAGAAGTAGCGGCGCGACTCTGTGCATGTTGGGCCCCGACAGCGCTGGCGTCGATGCTATACTTTGCGATAAAGACCTACGATACAATGTCGCGCTAGACTTCTCGAGAACCCGTCGTGGTACTGACTGGACATGTTGCCGTGGTATCTTTCGTGTTCTGCGGTTTGTTGCACAAAGGAGTCGTGCTTGTTATGTGGTAGCATTTCTGGCATTCCTTCGGGGCGTGAACATTGACCGCGGTCGCGCCTTCCCGTGAGACATCCGCGACCCCATTTTTTCGAGGAGAAAGTCTGAGGTTAAGGTGTCTCAAACCAGCGCACTATTTTGCGCAACCCTTGAGTTACTTGATCGTGTTGGTTTGACTTGCCAACAGTCTACTGTACGTATAAAAGTGTCAGTATTGGGTTGGGTTTAGGTTGTTGTGTTTCGAGGTCCTCGAAGCCTCGCGACAATCTTTACCCTGGTGTTGTTAACTGCGGTGCAGGGGTTTTACTGCTGTACGAGTGCTTTGATGCTCAAGCGTTTTGTTGTATCTTTTAACACCCGTTGACGAAAAGCCAGACCGACAAAGTAAAGGTTGGTGATCGTCTCATACTACAGTTAGGTGCGGAGAGATGGCACCAGAGTAAGTGACACGTACTTGTTTCGATTTCCGCACACGGGTCAATGCGATCGCGCCCCACGTACCATTTAGTCATTCAACATTGAGGGTTTCGCAAGGGTCACTTCGTGAATGTTTGTGAGGAACACTCAGGCACCCTTCACGCGTGGAGAGGGTATCAGCGGAGCAGCACTTCAGTATACCACGTGTCGCACTGCTGTCGGGGATGCTCCACCGGGTGCATGCTTATAGCACCGCCGCAGCATCAAGGTAGGGTCGCTGCTGTGTGTATGTAAATGGGCATCGTACCGGCCGGAGAGAAAGCACCAGGGGGCCTTGATTCAGCTACACAGAGGAAGAGATGGTTGAATGCTGGTTCCGCACCGGGCTCGGTGAGATTTCACGCGTCGGAGACATCGCACCGGGTTGCGAAAATAAATCATACACGAGAAACGATCGCACCCGGTGCCATCTCTTCGCCGCCCCTCACGGTATTTCGCTCGGTGCGGTAGACTGCTGTGCATAGGGCGTGGTCGTTCCGGGGCTACACTTGTAGAAGTTGTGTTGGGATGTTGCTCGTTTCAGGTCGATGAGAGCAGAGCAGCGACGGTTTTCGAGCTCCGAGCGAGAAAAGGGCTTGGAGAAAACAACTCAGCAGCAGGTATTCTTCGTTGTGCGTGTGTTGTGGGATTTATTTGCTACACTGGCTCCTTCAGAACCCCGCTGCACTGCTGTGTCTCTTCCACCACTACTGCCTGTAGGTGGTGACACAGCAGTGAAACCGTGGGGGCAGAACTAGTTCATGGTTCCTTTCCCTCCCGAACAAGATCTCAGTGCACACAAGACATTATCCTTCCGAAAACTTTTTCATGCTCGGGCCGGGCTCCCTGTATCAACAGAAATATCTCAATAGCAACATAGCCTACCGGTCGCCCCGGTGGTATTGTTGGTAACATCAAGACCTTCTAGAGGTGACATGAGGGGTTCGGATCCCGGCGTAAGAGAGCTTTTCTTGCAAAGTGAGCTTTGCTATCGCTTCCGCTCCTGGCCTGGTTGTTGTTGTTGTTGTTATCTTCACCGTTCCCATCTCTCTTTACCCAGTACCTTCGTATGTCCGTACTGATCCAACACTCGACGCGGTCGATTCCCGTGGTCACAGAACCGCAGGAGGGGGTCCAACCCCCCCCTCCTATGTGACCCCGCTTGGGTCATCTGGCTGGTAGAAGTGGAGGACAGGGGCCAGTGGGGCAGACGACAGAGTCCAATGACGGGAGGAAAAAAAAAAGTTAAACCTACAGAAATTGGCCCCTATAGGGGTCCGCAGGTCAATAGAAATCAACGACAGATACTCTTGAGTCCTCCACTTCCTCTTCGCGCTATGCGAGGTAACAACTGAGGTTAGGAGTCACAATCGCAGGCCGGAGAGAAAGAGGCACACCCCCTTGGTTCATCTTGGTACTTCACAACGCAGAGGTACACCCCCTTGGTTCAACCTTGGCACTTCACGACGCAAGCAGGGACAAGGCCATCTATCTGGCGCAAAAAAAGGGAGAAAAAAGAGGGAGACAAAAAGAAAACAGAGAACAAGATGAGAAAATAAAAGGAAACAGTAGTAAACGAAAGAGAAAACAAAATGGGAAACAGCGAGGACAAAAAGGGACCAGGCCGAAAATGAGAAGAAACAAGAAGAGACGTGTAAGGCACACGGTGGAGAGACCACTAACGAACAAGCAAACACGCAAGCATGGCCACCAACCAGCGATGTAATGGTATGTCATCACTAATGAGGGGTCGGTTTGTGTTACTTGTACGGCGAGTGAGTGATGTTTTGATATTGTGAATGAAGCTCTTTTTTGTTCGTTGACATGTGTTTTTGTCGGGGGTTCAAATCGATGGGATGAGAGGTATGAGGGTGTCATGTTGAGGGTACGGTGGGAGGAAGGGGTGCATTGTGTAAACGGGTGCGTCGTTCTTGAGTGCTGGTGCATTCGTTGCCTCGTGTTGTCCTTCTAGAAGAGGTGCGACTATGAAACACAGCTATAAAACAACTCAACCAAAAACCTTTTACGTGTCCACGTGCAAAATGTGCATCGCATCACACAACGATGATTTATTTTCCGAACGCAGATCCACCAAAAGCGTACCACGTACAGCAGTACTTGGGTCCACGTGCTTGCCAACCAAGAGAATGAGCGGTGTTTGGAGGTAGCCCGACGTGGTAACGCTAGCTGCGCAAGTGACATGCATGATACGCTCTCTTCATGACCTATTTTGGCATTCGAGTGTAGTCAGTGCGCGAGAGTCCCTGTTTCACGACCTTTAGTTTTGTCTGCGATATAAGAGAATATTAATATTCTCTTATAGTGAGATACTGTTTAAGAGAATTCTCTCTTATTCCGTAGCCAACACGATATAACAGAAAGCCGGATTTGTTGTTGTTGTTGTTGTTGACTTCACATTAAACCGTATGCCAGTTGCTAAATGCCAAAATCTAGCAAAGACTCTCAGCCCGTGGTCACGAAAGTGCTAGAGCCATCTGAGGATCTAAAGAACACGCACACGTAGCAAGAAAAAGGTATCCAAGAGCCCGAAGAGGTACTACTACACCTATATATAATCCCTGCAGCACCGTACGCGTGCCCAAAACTGAACTACACGTCCGTCTCACCGTTCGACTACAGCAACATCACCCCCTACNGTGTCTGCCTCCGCGCACAAAAAATGAGATGGGCATCGCTGCCTACGCCGACGGCCAGAGGCCCGCGCATCTACATTTTTTCGCCTGACCCCATCAGTGCCGACCCAACTACACCACCACGCGCATGCCTCGCGGCGGATATGCGCAGCAGCAAGAAGGTTTCGGTCATCCCTTGAGGGTGAATCTAGCCCTGCTCGCCAGAAAGACCCCCCCCTTCACTACAACCCATGTCTAAGCAAAAGCTTGTCGAGGAGCGAGGGGAAGAAGGATTTAAGAGAGTGAAATTGGCTTGTACCGACCCTCTCTTAAACCGTAGCCGATACTGTATCTATTATTCTGGTTGCTTCTTCCCTCGCCGTCTCGTCCGTCTTATGCCCGCCTTCCGCCCCATTTGTTGTTGGCTTGTGGTTTCGTTTGAGCGCCCGGTGTCGGCTGGCCTCTTCTTCCTTCTCGTGCCAGGAGGTCATGAACCTCTCAGCTCCCTGCAGCACCGCCGCATGCCAGGGTACTCCCCCCTCCACCTTCGCGGCTTCCGTACACTTTAACTTCGCGGTGCCATGTCTTTCGGTACCGAGATTCCGAGACAACATGGATCGGTTTTCGTGGATCCGTGGTCGGCCCCGAATGCCTTCAGGTCGTCGAGCACACACTTCGGCCAGTTCTGTTCCTGTCCCCCCCTACGTCGCTTCTCCCCCCCCGCCAGTTCGCCGAGCATCAGTCGTTTCGGGAGTCGCGCGTCCGGCTCTGCCTTGCCATTGCTCCCGCGGGTAGCCTAGATTAGTCTAGTTTTTTGTTGTTGTTGTTTCTCACATTAGCTCAAAAAAAGAAAGATTGGGAGCCCGTGGTCTCAAAACCCGGCATACACGACCCCACGAAGAAACAGAAAAAAATAGGGTACAAAAACCACTCGGAAGAGAAACAAAATGATAGAAAGAAAGACCAGCTACCGCACCAAACGAGAAAGAGCGTCGAGGAGACCGATCAAAATAAAATATAAGGAGAACGGGGAACGCTTCCCACACCCGTGGATAGCGCTAGTTCGTGTGTAGACTACACAGAGGGAAGAGAGTGAGTACTGAACTCTTCTCGCATTGAAAATCGAAGGCAAAGCACCGCAGGAGGGGAGGGTAGAGAGGGGCTCTTCTGTGTGACCACGGGTTGGAGTACATGTAAACGGCACTACTAGTGCTGTCTGTGAGGGTTGTGCCTTCTCGGCAGAATCGAAGTTGAAAATCAGAATCGAGTTTCAGTTGAAGACTAGAAAGAGCCAGCGTCCATGTGCTCTGATTGGTTGGAGTGCGTTCTTTCGGGAAAAACGAACGGATCTTCCTGTTGTTCTTTATCTTGATCTCGAAAAAATAGTGGCCAAGGGATTGATTTGGAGTCGACTTTTGCCAAACGCAACCAACTTTGGGTGGACGTTGGGCTGTTGGGAGCGTGCTGCGGCGGTTGACATTTTTCATCGAGCACGCTGCGCGCCCATGTGCGCGCGGATTGCACACGCTACACCACCGGTCGCCCCGGTGGTCTAGTGGGTAACCTCGTAGCCTGCTAAGGGCCAGGTCATGGGTTCGAGTCCCGACAGAGTGGTATTTTTCCCGCTAATTAAATCCTGGTCTCCGTTGTAAGCGACGCGCTGCCAAGCTCGTTGTTTAGTAAACTTGATCGACTTCAAAAGTCGCGAGGGAAGGGATTGCTGTACCCTTCTCGCGATAGAAATATCCCAGGCAGGAACCGCAGGAGGGGGTCCAACCCCCCCCTCCTATATGACCCCGGTTGGGTTGTCTAGCTGGTAGAAGTGGAGGATAGGGACCAGAAGGGCAGACGACAGAATCCAATGATGAGAGAAAAACAAACAAACAAACATAAACCACGCACGCCCACCAAGCAAGGAGAAAGATGATGTCACACAAGGCGAACGGCGACGGCAGGTTAAACTTGTTGCCGATTGGCCAAGGGCGTGCGCTGAGCAATGGAGTCGGGATTCATGCCACCCGTGCCATCGGTGGGTTGGGGTACATCACCAGCTCCAGGAGCTGCCTCAAACGCTTCTTTGTTTTCTCTCGCTGCCACGAGCGGCAGCCCGCACGGTGGAGAGGAGAGCGAGCCATGATTGTGCGAGTGCTGTGCAAAAGGACAAACCGTCGCCCGCAGGTCGCCCGCGCCGTTTGTCGGGACTACTGTTGGGCTGTTCGGCGTCCGTTCGGGCTCGTTCTCGGTGTGAACCTCAGCGTTGCAGGGGAGAAAAAAATAATTTATTTGAACCGGACTAGCTGGGGTCTCGGGGTCCTACACAACGACCAAACAACAACATTATGTGTGTTAATTTGATGTTTTTATTCGGTGTTGTTGTAGGGTCTTCTGTCCTCACACACTGCTGCTGCGCACCTAGCTCTCATCACCACTTCCCTCTCTTGCCGTGATCTTGTTGGCAACCGAAGAGCGATTGCGCAGTAGAAGAGCACCAGGCGTTGTACCGGCATCTCGTCCTCTCTCTGCTTCCAAGCCGCGTGGCAAACCACTCGGAGAATCTCCCATCTATCTGCATCATCTTCGGCCTTCTCACATACGACGAACTACAGCAAGCTGTAGAGTGGAGCAGCTTCCAGCACGAAAGGGTCGCACCACCCCGTATTGCCTCCCTGTGACGTGTGTGCGTCAGGGGCAGGAAGACTATAGACGGCCGCAGCAGCAGTCGGCTCGGTGAAGGGCAACCTGAGGGGACACCAGCCTGACAAGAATCGGCACACCCGAGCAGCAGCTTTTACGTACCAAGCGGCAGACAGCAGACTCTCCCTACCTTCCACGACGACCAACAGCGGCGGTGCACCATGTTGGGGTCCCTGAGGTCTCTCGTTCGAGGGAAAAGCAAGCGGTGAGAGGGAAAAGAAAAGGAGAGTGAGGAGGCGAGCGAGAGAGGGCCACGAGGCATAAAGCAGAGTACGCGAAGCAATGCACCTTATGTACACAGCAGTAGTACACAGCGGCACCCACAAACACCCTGCCTACGTTCTTGTTCGAGGTGATCATGTTCCAGGATTTTTTTCTATCGTTCCTGCTGCTCACAACAGCCAATCAGATGTGGTGAGCAGCACCCACGACAATCCGCTCCTCTGTGCCCACCGCTCGGTACGTGTCAACTATCACACCCCCTATGGCATCGCGATACCTGCGATGCGATGGGGGAGCAACCATTTGAAACGTCGGTTCTCTACACATCAATTTTCTTTTCAATTTTCTTCGGGGTCCTCCGCCCACCTCTCACATCTCAACCGCCACTTTATGGTTGTTCCTGCTCCCAGAAAAGTGTTGCGTGCACATGACGCAACGCACAACAGAACAAGCCCCTTGACCATACAACCTTCATTGCCACACACCCAACCTTACCGTGACGCCCAACACAAGTTCCTCAGCGCCTCCGCGACACGGCGGGTCCTTCCAAGCCATCCATTGGAGGTTCCATGTATGTAGCCTTGGAATGTTGCTTGTAACATCTTTCTCATATGACGGTACTGCTGTAAGGCTGTGGTAATATGTAGGTTGTACAGCAGTAGAACCGCCATTTTGTAGTGGCCTTCCTCCCATCGACCGACCGCAACCTTCCTTACTTTCACACGAAATCGCCTCCGACATCGGAGTTACCCCGTGAGATCCCGCATTTCGAGCTATCTCGCCTCAGTCCCCACGGCGATGTGTTGTACCATGTGTTGCGGCTTTTTTTTTCCTCCTTCGGTTGTAGCTGCAAATCAAAGGATGTTGGGGGTTGATTGTGATTGACCATGTGAGATCTTCATTGGTGTCGCTGCTGCTGTATTGTATGCTTCAGCTGTTGTATGTACGAACATTTGTCACAACGAATGATGCATATTTTGGCCGTGTTGCAGTTGATGCGGAGTTGTTTCGCGTCTAACGTGGCAACAACCCCTAACACAGCAGCAGGGAGTATCATGAACGCTTCCTTCGCCTGGAGTACATTCCTGGAGTACATTCTCAGTTTGTGTACCACGTAGCAATGCTTGCTGGCTCAGGCTTCCACCACTGCCTCTCGGGGCATTGTCGTTCCATTCGGGATAATATTCCGTTGGACAAACACGAAAATTTGCATGAGATCCTGCAAAGTTCGTATGATGCGCATGCGTGTTCAACTCTGGAGAAAACTCCATGACCAGTAGGCCTGTCCTCCATCGGCCGTTTTATTTTCGATTTAGATACACAAAACTTTATTTCTATACTAATTTCAAGTAATTCCACCTTCTTATTCTCCGTCATACAAGCAAAACGGCCGATGGAGGACAGGCCTATGACCAGGGGTCTAGGTGGCGGAGGAAACGGATTAAAACCCAGGTGTCGGGACGAAAGTAAAAAAATAGATGCCAAATGTGTGACCTCTATTCTGACACTTCCAACCAACCACGAGCTGCGCGGCAATCGTACGTGTTCGGCAAATCCTCAACTCCGATTCTGCACACACAAATCTGACCTGCACGCAAGGGCACTAGTGCTGTAGTATCCACAAGTCGGACTACCACCACATGAGCGCAAGCAACGGGTACAGCCGTGGCAGATGTGGCTGGTGTCACTCGAGAGATCAATATGTAACGTCGGGTTACAGCGTCATTGGCTGTGCATCAAAACGTATCATGTGAGTAGGGATTTTTAATTTTTATCAAGTGTGAGGAGCTGCGCGCGATCTGTCTAGCTCACCCGCCCCAGTACATGAAATTTGTGGTTCGTGGTCGCATCCAATGGGTCACTCTAGTGTTGGTCTCCTCCCCCACCGCGCAATAAGGACACTGAATATTTCGGGAATGACGGGCTGTGCGCTCTCGTCCATGCACTCCCGACCTGGCTCACGACTACGAGATGCAATAATTAACCAGTGGTATCCTGCAAGCCGAACGAGGAATACATCAATAAGCGAACCCGCAACTGCGCTGTACACGCCGCCGAAATAGGCCAATCAAAGGTGCCGGTGCCGGCGACGACAAGAACGCTAGCGATAAGGGCAGTAGCAACAGGAAGCTGCAAGCGGTGGGCCAGGAGAAACAAAACGGCGGCGTGAAGAAGGACGACGACGGCAGCCCGTCGAGCCAGTCCAGCTTCTTCTCCGGCGGCACCGGCGAAGCGTCTCTGTCCTCGGGGTCCTCCTCTCCGGTTCCCCCGGGCTCCCTGTCTCCGTCACCCAAGCAGCCTCGCCACGTGAACAACAACGTTAAGGTTAAGGGAGGGAACAACAACAAAGTCAAGGGAGGTGAGGAGGACGCGGGCTCCCCGAGCACGCAGCGCAGCAACAGCGGCGGCAGCACAGAGGGAGACCGGTACGCCGACGGCGGGGACGGCGGCTCTCGCCGCCGCCAGGACAACCAGCCCCCTCCTTACCACGCTCTTGTCGCGTCCCCGCCGCAAGCTCCCGCCCGGTCTGACCCCGACGCGCCCACCGGGAGGCCCAGGAACCAGCGCCACATCCTCACGAAGAAGGACAGGAGCAGGAGCCGCCGTCGCATGAAGGGTAACCGTGGTAGCAGCGCCGCCCAGTCGTGGAGGTACCCCCCCCCAGGAGGAGGACTCGTTAGGAGCAGCATCGGCAGCGGCGTCAGCAACCGTCACATGTCCCCGGCGGAGAAGGCCGCTCTTCGCGCGGCCGGCGAGGACAGCTTTGCGACCATCGAGGAGCAGCAGGGGGACCACGACGAGAACCAGGAGCAGGAGGAGAGCGCCGGCGGCAGTGGCGGGGTTAGGGCGGAGACAGAGGAGAAGGAGGCAAGCAAGCAAAACGTACGTTGCGTCATGTGCGTTTCCTGTTTTTTTTTTAGGGGGGGATCATGGAGAATGTTTGTGTCATAACAAACTATTCTAAGATTGTAGCCCTTCCGAGACGACACCACAACAGTAGTCAAACGGGGTGTGTTGAATTGAATTGAAGTTTTGCCTTGTCCGGCGAGGGGGGGGAAGTATTCCTTGCCTCGAAGTACCAGATTGTCGCCGTCTATCCTGTCCTGTCTTCGGTCTATGGGAGTTGTGTACATATTCCACAGCTGTTCGCACGGACTTTTGCATTGTACTCTTTCGCCAACCACCCCTCTCGAGGACGTGTGGTCTAACCGCTAAGGCATGCATAACACGAGTACGCTCCCCCTCCCCCCAGGTTGGAGTTCCCGACCTGGAGAAGGCTTTCATCAGGTCCCTCGCCGAGATAGACGCCGACGCGAAGGCGTACAACAACCGCGTGCGGCCGCTGTTGGCGCATATTCCCCGTCCACGCCTCTTCGGTGCCGTGGCCCCCGCCCCCGGCGTCGCCCGAAACGACGGCATCGGCTCCTGCGGCTCGAAGAAGGTGGTGCCTATGGGCCACAAGAAAACGCTGGTGCTGGACCTGGACGAGACGCTGGTTTCGAGCAGCCGGACGCCCTGCGACTGCGACTACAAGGTGCGGGCTTGGTTGGGGGGCAGGAGTGGCGGTATTCCGCATTTGTGTGTTGCATGCCGTCAACAACGAGGTGGGCTTTGCTTCTTGGTTTGCTTGAGGGGGAGGAGTGGTTGGTGTCTTGTTGCTTGTCGTCGTCGTCAGGCCCGCGCGTCCCCGCTCGAAACGGAGCTTGAGGGGGCGCGGCCGACGGTCTGTGGCGCGGGTGGAGGTGGGGGACGAGGGAGGCAATCTTTCATGCAGCATATGTTTTGTTCATTTTTTTTTTTACTGGTAACATTTTGTGTTTGTTGACAATCTTTTGATTCTTGGTCGCTCGCCATGCTGTGTGCTCTCGTGGTGCTTGTTTCCACCACGGGTGTTGTGTGTGTTGGGTAGTGTCCCGAGCTGTGCTTGAGGATGTGCACGCCATGGTGACGACGATGGCTTGCACACCAAAATGTATAACTGCACATTAGCATACGCGGCAGCAACCGCATTGCCCGCGACGTGTTAGCTTGTTCGTGGATCCTTCCTTGACCCTGTTCCAAAGGTTGTTGCTTGACCCTTTTCCATAGGTTGTTGCGTCCTTGTCGTTTTGTTGAACCGAAACCCGTAAAAGGCCTACCTTAATAGGCGGAGAGTTTGCACCGCGCGCTACCGTTTTTCATCAACGTCCCCCCATTTTTTTCTCGCACCCCGGTCCGATGTCTCCGACCGGTGCCATCTCTCCGACCCCGGTGCGGAAAGCCATTGAACCATGTTGTTTATTTAGCTTTTTCAAGGCACCCCAGTGCGATCTCTCCGGCCGGTTTGATGTGCAATGAACAATACACATCGGGGGCCTGCCGATGCTCGGCGGTGTTGTACGCATGAGCCCCGGTGCCATCTCCCCGACCGGTGCCATCTCTCCGCCTTTTGGTTTTGGTACAATGCAAGCAGCTATGTGCAGCGTAGGCACCGCTGTTGTGTGCAGCGTAGGCACCGCTGTTGATGGGTGGGAGGGAGCACACCGGTAACGGCACCGTAGGCTCGTACGTAACAGCTTCCCAAGCAGCGAGTGCGAGTGGTCATGGTTTGAATGCGAGTTTGGCTATGGTGCGATAAGGACAACAAACGATGTGGAAAGTGGCACCGGTACACACGGTATATGAGGTTGTCTCCCGCTTTGGTTTCGGTCTCTTATCTTACTCCACGAATACGAGCACGTACGCAGCAGTGCGCGGCTTGTATGTTTATCGATGAAATCCTTCCGTGCCTCTCGTGATTTTCTCTGCACACCCCGGTACGCCATCTCCCCGACCAGTGCCATCTCTCCGCCTTATACGGTGGTATAACATGCTTCCTCCATCGTCCCCCCCCCGCCCCCGTCTCGTAACTCCGTCCTCCCCTTCTCCGTATTCAACCTTCAGGTCGTGTTCAAGATTCACAGCCGAGAGAAGGCCAGCAACAACCAGGAGAACACGCCCTTCTTCGCGGCTAACGCGGACGCGCCCGACGCCAACTCAGCAGCCGCCAACAGCAGCGAAGGTATCCAGCACGCAGGCGGGTACTACGGTAGGGACGACGATATCGTGCAGGAGATCGTCTACTACGTGCAGCTCCGACCGGGCCTGGCCAGGTTTCTCGAGAAGGTCGCCGCCATCTATGAGGTCAGAATACGAAAAAACCGTGTAACCGGTGTGCCATTCTAGGGCGTGCGGTGCGTGTTTCGAACCTCGCGCGGGCGCCGGGGGGCAACGAGATGAGTCAGAATATTCCCTCATTTTCCCTCTGACTGATGAGAAACAATTCGTTGCCTCCAGCCACCCCAAGCAAGTGGACAGCATGAGAGCAGCAAACACAGATTTCAAAAAAAAGTCGGACGTGTGGGCCTGAGAATTTTTATTGTACGTGCACACACATGGATCTCTCCCAGACAACATACACAACAACAACGGCTGCCACCCACTGGCCACCTTGCAGGCCACCTTGAATGAGAATTTCGTTTTTTTTTTCTCGTATTCCCCCCCCCCCCCCCCCCCCC